TAATTATTATATTTACAAATACAAATAACTAAATAGCTAATAAGATAACATAATTATAAGAAAATATAAATACTAAAATAATGATTATATTTTAAATAAAAAATTATATTACTCACTTAATGTTTTGGTTTTAAGTTATTATAAAACTAAATTAAATTATTAATACAGACTCGCGCGTAGCGCGAGTATAAAATCTAGTTATTTATAAAAATTTTCATCAAAACATTCTGAGCTTATCAAAATCTAGTCTATTTTATATATTTGATCTTTCTAATTTCTTAAGTGGATTTTGTCCCTAATACTCTACAAGTCTATGCATAAAGAATCTTATTGACAGTTTGAGTTTCCCCGTTACCTCACGAACAAACTCGTTCACCCGCTTAGCTGATCCTGTGTCACTTGGTATATCAGCAAGTGGATCTCTTGAGTAGGAGAAGCCAGTCCCAACAGGCTGGTCCAAATAGATTATATTCGCCACCTGAAACGAAGCAATCATTCAAAATTTGAAGATTTCATTAATATATATACCAACTAAACCGGATATGTACGTCCTTATTGAAGATGTATGGTGCAGACAGAGCTGAAGTAGTTCAAGAAAGGAGTTGAAGTAGTTCATGAAGCACGACATGAACTATTAAATGAAATGCGGGGTCTAGAGCTGAGCAAGAAAAAGGAAGGAGCCTTTAATAAAGATGTGAAGATATTTATCAAGGCGTGGGCATTAAGAAAAAAGGAGTGAAGAATAAGCAACCATTGAAGAAAAGAAGAAGGTTGTCTTATTCGCTGAAACAGAAAAATGGAAAGTTTCCATTGGGTAGTTTTAGGGTTTTTCTCTCTAGGTATAAAGAGAGAGTCGACGGGGTTGTAGTCGACTAACACACTGGGTAATATTCTAGCAAGTTAGAGTTTTGCTAAACCGAGCAAGGTAGGCAAAATACTTTAAGAGTTAGAAGCAATTCACTGACTAGGGTAAGTCGTGAATTGATTGGACTAGTCAACAAGTCAAGTTGTTCTTGAACTTTGTTGAGAATTGCTTTTCAAAAGAACTTGTATGTGCTTTTAAAAGGATTTATCTAGTCGTATTTTTCTTGAAAAAGATAACTCTTGAATTACTGTGTGTTCTAGTTTCTGTACTACTAATATTGCGCTTTCAATTGGTATCAGAGCGGGTACTTGTGTTTTCTTAAACAGGTAAGGATCCTGCGGAATGGACAACTTCAAAGAGTTGGTGGCGCACTCCAAGATGATCTTGGAAGTAGGAAACTATGGGTTCTGGAAAGCCAGAATGAAGGCGACGATCAAAGGTATTGATCCACTTGCATGGAAGGCAGTTGAGTCTGGATGGAAGCATCCTGTTGCGAGAGGTGAAGATGGTAAAGATGTACCAAAACCCGAAGAACTGTGGACTGAAGATGAGAACAAGTTTGCCAAGTTCAATGCAAGAGCACTCACGGCCATCCACTGCAGTGTTGCAAGGAAGCAGTTTGAGTTGATTCAGGGATGTGAGTCAGCAAAATAAGCATGGGATATTCTTCAGAGGCACTTTGAGGGAACTACGAAAGTGTTAAGCTCAAGAAGAGACATGTTGGATACTCGTTTTGAAGATCTGAAGATGGACGAGAATGAATCAATTGCTGATTTCAGTTCCAAGCTAAGCTCATTGTCACAAGAAGCACTCACACTTGGGATAAAATACAAAGAAAAGAAACTGGTGAAGAAGTTCCTAAGGTGCCTTCCCGAAAGGTTCAGAGGTCACAAATCAGCCATGGAGGTAGCTCTCAACACTGATGACATAAGCTTTGATGAGGTAGTGGGTATGATGCAAGCTCATGAGATGGAGTTAGACAGTGGAAAGAAGGTCAAGGGAATTGCACTAGCATCTGTTGAAAAGGATGAAACAAGTGATGATCCATTAAGCTTACTCGTGAGAAGATTTGATAGAGCGCTCAGAAAAGTAGAGCAAGGACAATCCTACAAGAAGTTCGGTTCAAAATCCCAATCTGCTGAAGCTGAGAAGAGTGCCAAGAAGTCAGACGTAAAGTGTTATGAGTGTAAGGGATATGGTCATGTGCGAACTGATTGCCCCACAGTAAAAAGAAGAGAGTTTCAGTGCTTTGGATGCAAAGGATTTGGTCATACTCAAGCTGAATGCGAGACGGACAGCAAGAAGAAGAAAGAGAAATCGCTAATTGGGATCGATGACAGCGACTCCGACAGCGATAGTGAAGAAGAGCTGAACAACTTTGTGGCATTCTTGGGCATCACAGAATTCGTGTCTGACTCAGAAAGTGAAAGTGAATCAGAGAAAGAACTAACTGAAAGCTATCGAGAAATTCGCGAGACAGTACTAAGACTTGGAGCTGAGAATCAAGCACTTGCGAAAGCTAAGGGAAGTCTTGAGGCAGAATTGGAAAAGGTTCGTCTGGAACTCCAACAGGAAACTGAGCTAGCCAAAGAGAGTGTGAATCTAATGAAAGAAAAGCTAGTTCTTGCCAAACAAGCTGAAGATCTCAGACATGAAGTAATGGCTGAAAAGAAAATCACCATGGAACTACAATCGGAGTTAGATCAGCAATACAAGAAGATCAAGATGCTAATAGGTACTAAGCAGCTAGACAAGATCTTGTCTCAAGGCAGAACAGAGAATTCTCACATGGGACTTGGATACACTGGAAGATCGAGTAATGCCACAGGCATAACTAGTTTTGTGTCTGGAGGGTTTGTTCACACCAAGGAAACTGAGACAGGAAGTTCATCAAGACAAACAGCTGGATGCCATTTTTGTGGGAAGATGGGTCATTACAAAAGGTTTTGCCAGAGATATCTCGGAAAGATCAGACAATTGTGGAACCAACGGAAGTTCTGGAGAGTTGGGAACACAAGTCTAGCATGGATGAGGAAGTCAGACCTGTATTCTTCAATCAATACAGGATCAGGCTCAAGATGTAGCATGGCCTTGGTTACGGAGGATGATGATGCAGAAGAACCATGGTACTTTGATAGTGGTTGCTCAAGGCACATGACAGGTAATGCTGAGTACCTAGATAACTTAAAAAAGGTGAAAGGTGGAAAGGTCACGTTTGGTGATGGAGGACAAGGATCAATCAAGGGGAAAGGTGCTA